ATATATATATATATATATATATATATATATATCAATATTTATTTTGATCTTTTCAAAAATTAAATTAATTTATAGATGTAAACATTTGTTTTAATAAGTGTAATAAAAAAGAAATCTATATCTTGTGTAGATATCTTTCAAATACATAATAGAAGAATTATGATTTTTGATAGACGACGACAAATGTGAATCTTGCCCGGAGATCCTCGAGGAGTTAGAAACGATTGACGATGATACCGACAAACACGGTATTCAATTCGTCAAATCGAACGACGCTAAACTGGCGGCTGAAATCGGCGTTTTCTCCTTCCCGGCTCTCGTTTATTACGAGACCGGAGTCCCCATCATGTACGACGGTAAGTGCCAAAAGGTTCTAATTTTGCTTCTATTATCTCACCCTGTCCTTCATCAAATAATTCTCGTTTTTTGTGAAAGAAGTACAAGATTAAATTTCTTATGCTATACGACTGCTATTCTTCCTTTATTAAGTCACTCTTCAATTTACTTAAACTATAAATAAATAAATAAATTTCTATTAATTAATAAAGACATTTCTATAAAATAGAATTTATTTGATAATGGAAATTAGTATATTTTTCAATGAAAAATAATTCTTGTTAATTCTTTCTCTCTCTTTTTCTCCCTCAGAAATTATGACAATATATTATAATGGTAAATATATTCAGAGAGAATTTTATATATAATACAATCACAATGAAGAGCGACTTAGCGTGTTCCTTTCAGCAACTTCCACGTCGATAAAGCGATAACGCGAAATGATCATGGTGCGTTATCAAACCCAGCTGATCCTGATACGCGTGTGTGCCTTTTGTAGGTAATCTTAAGAACGAGGACAGAGTTCTGGAATGGCTAATCGAACAGAAAAGTAAGGAGATTTCTAGGATGATGATTATTATTACTGGTGTACTGTTCTTTGTGACGTTAATCTCGGTCGTGACTATACCACCGGGCTACGAGTACAACACTCACGCCGTGGTGATCACCCCGATCACACTACCACCACCACGATCACCATGATCACAGTCGTAAACAAAAAAAAAAAAAGGAAAAATGAACAAAACTAAGGGAAAAACTTAATATTTAAAATTTATCGGTTTTATAATCTGTTATATGTCTTGGTTCGCGTACTAATAGAGAAAAAGGATCAAATCGAAATTTGGATTTTATCACAAAGCTTGATGAAACGCGTATAACGCGAATTTCGACATGCACGCTAGCCATACATAATTTTTCAATTACGGTATAATGCATTTAAATTACACTCACAAGCTTATCTCACTTTGCATTTTTTTTATTCGCTATTTAGTTACATACTGATATTCAGCTGCATCGATGCAATAATCTAAAACGTGTCATAATTGGCGGTGATGCGTCGTGCAAATCTTTCCAAACTTATAATTTTACAAAAAAAAAAGAAAAAACATTACGGCGTATCATCGTGGAATTACAATAAGTAACAAGTTTCTTAATTGCATAAGTATCAAAGCTTTATATTTTACAGCTTTCGCCTAATAACGGCCGACTTTTCTCTACTTTTGTTTTCTTTTTGCTTTTAATGAAGCTTTCGTGATTCATTGATATGAAAACAAAATCGCGAATTATTTTATAAATTGAAAATTTAGATTATAAAGCAAATTCCTTTAAAGATTTGAAAAAAATAGATATAATAGAAAAAGTATAGAAATATGTAGATAAATTTATTTATTTATGTATTATAAGAATATAAATTTTATGTATAATAATTGATGTT